AGGGACTGGATCTATGTTCCTCCGTCTGTCCCTCCTCTCCAAGGGCAGGCTGCTGATCCGAGCTGGTTGTAGATGTTCAAATGATTTTCAGGCCGAGCCTTGGGGGTGCAATGGTAGGGTCCTGGATGGTGGCACTGGAGACACAGGGAGGACTGCAGGTTTGGATCCCGGGTGGGCCTGAATGTGCACCAGCACATGTACAGGTGCCCAGAGCCCTGGGAGCTGGAGGGCTGGGGAGGGCGTGGTGTGGGGAGACCCGGATTGGGCCACCCAGGCTGGGCTCTGGCGAACTGAGTTGCTTAATCCCATCTGCCCACTCTAAGCAGCTTGCTATTCAGTAAGCCACTTGCTGCCTCCCAGGTTCCCTGCCCCACAGGAGAAAACCAACAGCGGCTGCCTCACTGGGTCTGTGAGAGAGAAAGGAGGCTGTCTGTTCATTCATTCTACTGGTACCTTTCTCAGCGGTGGTTCCAGATGATGGGGTAGTATCAGAGAACACGACCGAGTACCGGGCTTCATGGGGCTTACAGTCTGGTGGAGGAGACAGGCAACAAGCAGGCCAGCGGGCGGCAAGCGCCGTGGAGAAAGATAAAACCCGACGGTAGAAAGGTGAAGGGGCGGCCGGTAGGCCAGAGTGGGCGGGACGTCCCTTCGGTCCAGTTCGGCCCCAGGGGTTCTGAGCGAGAAGTGCTGAGTCTCTCAGGAAAAGAAAGTTCCAGGAGGCAGCACACCGCAAAGGCCTGCCAGCACCGGAGAGCTGGCGAGGTCGGATTTCTGTCTCTGGGCTCTTTACATCCCTAAAAATCATTGCTGACTCCAAACAGGCTTTGTTTTTGTGAGTTCTGCCTATTGCCAGCAGGCAATAGGGGCCAGCAGATGGCACAGAGGTAGTCGTTGCACTCCCACAGGGCCAACTGCTCTTGGAGTCCTGGCTTTAAGCTCATGGCGGGTGCATGTGCAATTGTATGACCAAGACCCTGGAAGGATAGTGGAGGAAAAGGAGTTGTGGTGTGGTCATCCCCCCTGGGGGTGATTTCTCACCTTCCCTCTCCTGTCTCTGTCTCTCTCTCCAGTGAGCACACATACCCTAAGGCAAAAAACTCTAAAAAAAAAAAAAAAAAAAAGAAAAGGAAGGTGAGACATTTAAAGACATGTGTAACAGGGGCCGGCACGTGGTTTGGTGGCTAAGGTGGTAGACTACCACATGGCCAACTGTGGTTTGAGTCCCAGACCTGGTGGCTTGGTTTCTCACTTTCCTGCTCTCTTTCTCTTTCTGTTCCTCTCTCTGGTGCCCTGTAACAATTATTTAAAATAATGGTGTACACAATTAAATAAATAATTCTTTAACAAGTAACAATTTATTGTAACAATAATAAATTCATTATATGCTAACATAAATAATGTATCTTTTTTCTTTTTCTTTTAGGAGAGGTTTTCGCTATAGGGGTTGTGTGCCCCACTGGAGAGGCAGAGACAGAGAGACAAAAAACAAGAAACCACCTCCCAGGAAGACGGCCACGCTGCAATCCCTTCTCCTCTGTTCTTCTCTCAGGATTTTGGGCACACACGCACATGCACCTGGTGTGAACTTTAAGCCACCACGTCTGGGACTCGAACCTTGGTCCACTACGTGGGAGTCCAGCAACATAACCATTACGCCAACTGAGCAACAACTATTTTCCAAAACAAGACATTGGGGTGAAAAGCGTGGTATTATTTTGTATTTTCGCAAATCTCTTTACATACGAACAAAGAAGGAGGCCCGCGAGTCCTACCTGCTGCCACCCTCCGGCGGTAATGACCTGAGGCTCAGGCTGAAGTAGATGAGGAAGCCCAGCTCTGCCCTGCACAGAGAAGCTCATGGGGAAAGGAGGAGCTGTGTTCCTAAAGGGGAGTGGACTTTCTAGATACTCGTGGATATTTTTTCTTTGTTGCTATGCCAACAGCAGACACATTTCTTAAAGGAATATGCAAAGTGGGATGTGTACTCGTATCAGTGAGCTCTATGTATTCTGTTAGCAGAAAACCCATTGGCTTGTCTTGTACTTTGAATGGATCGCTTACTCCTGCAGGATTTTACAACATTCCTCATTGGTCATTTGGAAAACACTGATTCACTGAGCTATGCATATCTTTCAAATGTCGAAACATCTCTTTATTCTTTTTTTAAAAATTGCCTTGGTTGCTAACCCTGCCAATCTCATTGGAAAAGTCTGTAAGTCTTGAGAAGCTGTCCAGCTCCCAGTGGTGGATATGAGGGTCTCAAGATTCTATTGCGAGCTTGTGTTTGAAAGCTTGCCTCTTGTCATTGGCCATAGACACGGTCAAAGGCAGAGTCCTCCCTGTGTAAACATCACCTTCCTTTCTAAAGACTCGGATTGGTAATAATAATTCCCTTCATTTGTAAGCTCTTGTATGCTGGACCTGTTGCTAAGCAGTCTGCACATGCTATTTTGTTAGCATATTCATTTTACAGTATCCCTGGGAGGTGTTCTTCCTCCCATTTTACAGATGAGGAAACTGAAGTCCAGAGAAGTTAGGTACTTGCCCAATGCCACACAGCTAGTGATGCTTCTCTGTACATCAAATTTCCGGAAAAGATCTGTCCAGATAGGCTAGAACTGACCGGAATCCTCCGCCCTGTGGGGCCAGGGACGAGCCCCTGCTCTGCTCGTTGCCTCACCCAGCCACTGATTTAGGGGGAGGCGTATGGGTCCCCGGCCCCCCTGGCAAACACCTACACACTCAGCCCTAGCTCAAGTGTAATCTCTGTGGGGAAGCCTTACCTGGGTAACAATGGAAAACTCCCCTACTGGATCAGTCACTGGTGGGGAGGTTAAGGCAGCTAGATCCCACGTGGAAACTGTGGTTTGAGTCCTCGATCATTACTTGAAAAACACGTCAGGCCCTTGTGCGTACATGCCCAAAATCTCAAAAGGAGAATGAGGGAAAAGGGATTGCAGCATGGCCATCTCCTTTGGGGGGGGGGGATTTCTCGCTCTCTCCCTGAGAGTGCATGCCCTCTGTAGCAAATTAAAAACAAACAAACAAGTGATAACAACTTCCTTGCCGCAGGTCGAATGGTAGTCGGAAAGTTCCAGGCACCATGCTGTGCACTTGGAGCCCTGTACCCTTCCTCCAGAGCAGCCGGTTTACAGAGTGGTGTGGCTCCCGGCCTGCTCAGCGGCCTGCTGTGACGAGTCAGCACGGGGTCCACTCGCTGAAACCAGCACAGCATCCATTTTGCAGCTCCGGGGTCAGAAGAGCCACCGAGGGGGACCAGCAGTTAGTGTAATGGCTATGTTGCTGGACTCCCATGTAGTTGACTGTGGTTCGAGCCCCAGACACGGTGGCTTAAACTCATACTGGACGCCTGTGCGTGCGTGCCCAAGATCCTGAGAGGAGAATGGAGGAGAAGGGATTACGACGTGGCCATCTCCCTGGGGGTGATTTCTCACTTTCTATCTCTCTGTCTCTCTCTGCCTTTCTAGTGAGAGCACACGCCCTATAGCAAAAACCTCTCCAAAAAAATAAATAAAAAAGAGCCAGCGGGCTGCAGTCAAGGTGCAGGCAGGGCTGCATTCCCTCTGCGGCCTCAGTTGGGTCCTCTGCTTGCCCTTTCTGCTTCCAGGGGTTGCTGGGTTCCTGGCCCCTGGCCCCTCTCCATCCTCCCAGCCAGCAGCACTGCGCCTTCAGCGCCCACTCCCAACTGCCCTTCCGCTCTTGTCATCTGACTCGCTCGCCTCAACAGGCCCCGATAATAATTAGCTCACTTTACCCGGGACAGTCTCCCCACCTCAAGGCCCTGGACACAATCACACGTGCAGTTCATTCTGCCCTGTGATGTGTTCATAGGTTTTAGGGATTAGGATGTGGGTACCTTGGGGGAGGGCATTACTCTCTTTATACAAAAGATTCTCAGAAAACTTCAGTCTCGCAGTAATTCACACAGCCCGGGAGCGGGAGAGTTGGCATCTGGACCCAGGCCTGCCTTTACCCCAGGTCTCCCCACCGCCCCTGGCGAGTTCCAGAGCCTCAGCGCTTGCTGGCGTCCTCACACATCTCTTTAGAATTCATATGTTAGGCCGGCAGGTGGTGTGGCCGGTAAGGGTGCTGGAGTCCCACACGGCCGACTGCGGTTTGAGTGCCAGACCTGGCGGCTTGCTCTCTTCCTTTCTCTTTCACTCTGTCTCTCTGTTCAAATGAATTTAATTAAATAATTCTTTAAAAAAATAATTCATGTGTTAAAATCTCTGTGAGTTATTTGAAAATTAAGACTGGGTCTTATTTATTTATATTATCACTTTAATTTTTTCAAAGAATTATTTTATGACTGCGGTTTGAGTGCCAGACCTGGCGGCTTGCTCTCTTCCTTTCTCTTTCACTCTGTCTCTCTGTTCAAATGAATTTAATTAAATAATTCTTTAAAAAAATAATTCATGTGTTAAAATCTCTGTGAGTTATTTGAAAATTAAGACTGGGTCTTATTTATTTATATTATCACTTTAATTTTTTCAAAGAATTATTTTATTGAATATTAATTAATTAATTAATTAATTAATTAATTAATTAATTAAAATTTGACCAGAGAAGGACAGAGTGAGAGAGAGAGAGAGACAGGAAAAGTGAGGATGTGAGCTGTCAGGCCTGGGACTCAAACTGCAGTCAGCCATGTGGGAGTCCAGTGCCCTTAACCACCACACCACCTGCCGGCCACTTTCACTTTAATTTTCTGTTCAAGCAACATCTGATAAAAATAAGACAGGACTGGGGGACCAGCAGGTGGCATGGTGGTTAAGGCGCTGGACACTCCCCCATGGCCGACCATGGTTTGAGTCCCGGACCTGGTGGCTTGCTTTCTCACTTTCTCTTTCTCTCTTTCTGTATGTGTATGTGTGTGTGTATGTGTGTCTGGTCAAATTAAAAATAAATAAGTGAATAAATAAAATGAAATGAATAATTAATTTTTAAAAAAGACAGGACTGGTACAAATCACTTACGGGTTTTCGCGTCCCTCCCAGTCTCTAACCACGTGCAGATCTGGTTTCTCTGTGGCGGTAATCATGTGCAGAAGCCAGGAGTCTGTGTCCGCTGACTTTCTGTTATGAAAATTTTTAGACATAGAGAAGCGTTGAAGGACAGCATCATTTAGCACAAGCGATGGCTAGCATTTTTGCCATATCGGCTTCTTCTCTCTGTATGTTCATGTATATATATGATTTTTTTTGTTGTTGAACCAATAAAAATAGTATGCATCTCTTAAGAATACAGACATCCTCTCAATGAGACTGTATCATTGGTAAACTATGAAAATTACTAATAACTCACTAAGATCAAGATAATCTATAGCCAATTATTCAAATTTCCCTGTCAAAATATAAATAGTAAAATTAGCTTTAAAAACATACCAGAATCCTACCCAGGGGTATTGGCGGGGTGGGGTGGGGGGGACTGGAGAGGGGAAAAAAATCAGGATCCAGGATCCAGGATCCGGTCAAGATTGACTCATTTTATTTGGTTATGTCTTTTTTTTTTTTTTAAGTTTGCTATAGGGTACATGCACTGGCTGGAGAGAGACAGAGAGAGGGAGAGTGAAAATTCATTCCCCGGGGGATGGCCATGCCTCAATCTCTTCTCCTTCATCTTCCTCTCAAGGCACTCATGCACACACCCCCAGTGTGTCTTTCAAACTGCTGGGTCCCAGACTCCAATGCTCAGCTACCTGTAGGCCCTTTAATTCTGTCTCCCTTGCTTTAAAAATTTCACCAGAGTGGCTTAATCTCACGCTGGATGCGTGTGCGTGCGTGCCCAAGGTCCCCAGAGGAGAATGGAGGAGAAGGGATTGCAGCCTGTTCATCCCCCTGGGGGTGATTTCTCGCTTTCTCTCTGTCTCTTTCTGGTGAGCGCACATGCCCTATAGCAAAAACCAAACCAAAACCAAAACCAAAACGAAAAACCTCTACAAAGAAAAAAATTTACCAGAGAGTATTGTGCATTTGCCAGAGCGAGAAGAAGGGGAAACCACCTTCCAATGGGGCCAGGGCATGCCTCAATCCATCTCCTCTCCCCTATTCTACCCAATGACAGGCGCGGGGGTGGGATGGGGGGTGGGGGGGGAGAGTTTCTAAAGCGCAGGCGCGGGACCTCCAGCCCAAGGGTCCAGCATGTGGGATCCCAGCCCCCTTACCACTAGGCCCGGCAGGCAGGCCTGCTCCGTTATTTCAAAACATAGCCCCTCTCACCCTCTATTTACATTTTTCATAGCATCCCATTTTCAAAGAGAACAGGGCCACTGCTGAACGGGCTGTGGGGGTGGATCTTGTTAATCGCCTCTCCTCGTTGCAGGGACTGAGTGGTAGGCGGTGCAGATATTTGTCGAACAAGTAAAACTAAGTATCACAGCCGATCATCACAACCCCTGATTTGCATGGAGGGCTTTCTTGGCCGGTCCGCTGACGTTCGTCTAACTTGGTCCTCAGAGAGCTTATGTAAGAAGTTCTCTTGGTCTCACTCAGAGGTGAGAGAGCAGGGCTTAGGCAAGGGAAGCGAGCTGCCAGAAAGCACAGCCAGAAAGGGGAAAAGCTGGACTGTAGGCCCTGCCTGGCGCCCCGGGCAGTCAGACGGGACTGAAAAAATGAACGTAGCAAAGATCCCAGAGCTGCCGTCTCTGCACGTGTGTGAGAGGTAACAATCGCCGAGTGCTCACAACCAGCAGGCCCCGTGCTAAGCGCCTTCCTGCCGTGCGTTGCTTTTGCTTTGTTTTCCAATGCCTAGCGAAAGGCGTGGCACGAAGTACGCGCTCGGCGGGTGTTCGTGCAATGAATAAGGTGAATAAATAAATGAATGGACAGAAACGTGATCTCCACAAACCACGAGACTCCTTGGGGATTTTCAGCGATCACCCGGAGGCCCGGGCTAGGGACACCCTGGGTCGTGGCCCTCGGCCGACGC